TGTGAAGTAGAACTGCTTTCCTGTAGCGTTTTTTTTTTTTTTTTATTTGGTATTCCATTCAGACACCCATTCTTAGTATGAAAAGGTGTATGTCCTACCATGGTTTATAAGGCTGTTTTGAGACACGAAGAAAATCAAGATGAAGGTCATTTCACAGTTTAGAAGCCCACGCATAGGACGGTGCCATGTGCTGCTAATGATTTGTCGGCTAGAGGTCAAAACCCAGAGCTAAAGGCGTTTAACCCTGAATTTTAAGTCCAGTTTTCCGCAAAAGGGGAATATACCCAGCGAGCTTGCTTGCAGAAGGCATGAATGAGCACGACAGAGCAGGGGCCGAAGGCTAAAAGATCATCCAGCTTCACACGCCTGGCCCCAGTCTCATAACCCTACTGGATTCTGTTGAACTTTGGTTGGAGGTCATTTGCCAGATAACATTCAGGGCAGGAACGGCTGTTTGCTAGAAAACGGGTCTGCAGATAACTTAGCAAAGCATATTTTTCACCAATTGTCGTTCAATAACAAAAGCAAATACTTTCCAGTGCCCTGGACGTATCCATGGGATTAACCCTCTTCTACTCTAACGGTTCACTTTATAAGCCTTTTCATGGTTTACCTAATCTTAAATTCAGACCTGTTTGTGGGTCGGGGATATGAGGAGCTGTGTTAAACGCACAATAAATGCAATGGGGTAATTTTTGATTCTCCCCACGTATTAAATGGGGACACCTGGAAAGCACCTAGCGCAGTAGAAGCAAATGAACCTGGGCTATTATTATTTGGCCAACTTGGAAATCTGAGCCTGTGTCTCAATTTTTAAGGAGCCTCAGAGGCCTCTGGACAGGACAGACTGCTGTATGTTAGCTTATAAAACCACAACAAAAGTAAATGTCCTAAGTCCAATTTGCTTCCACTTTCTTCGTTGTTGAAATGACCTATGTTTTGGCGTGCCTGGGTGGCTCAGTCGGTTAAGCATCCAACTCTTGGTTTCATCTCAGGTCGTGATTTCGCAGTTTCATGAAATCAAGCCCCACATCGGGCTCTGTGCTGACAGCATGGAACCTGCTTGGGATTCTCTCTCTCCCTGTCTCTCTCTGCCCCTTCTCATGCTATTTCTGTCTCTCTCTCAAAAAATAAATAAATAGATGCGCCTGGGTGGCTCAGTCGGTTGCACGTCCAACTTCGGCACAGGTCATCATCTCACAGTTTGTGAGTTCAAGCCCCGCGTCCAGCTCTGTGCTGACAGTTCAGAGCCTGGAGCCTGCTTCCAATTCCTGTGTCTCCCTCTCTCTCTGCCCCTCCCCTGCTCACACTCTGCGTCTCTCTCTCTCTCTCTCTCTCCCCCTCTCTCTCTCTCAAGAATAAACATTAAAAAAAGTTTTAACAATACATAAACTTAAAAAATATTTTTTAATGACCTATGTTTTAAGTGACCCGTGATATACAGCTTCCCGTTCCTTTGTGGCCTGTAACATACCCTGTCATTCCTCGAACCACTCTTTTCCCAAAGGAAGCACGTTTTTGAAAGGGCACAGGGTTCCTGCCCCTGCCCACTGTCCTTGTTATCCTGTGTCTGGCCTACCGTGGACTTTATCACAAACCATCAGCTGTTCCTCGTGTGACCATGTCTTTAGGACATGGGAATATTAGAGAAATAGAAGCCGAGCTCTCTGTACAAACCCCTGCTTAAAAACATTCTTCCCTTCCTCCCTACCAGCTGCAGGGTAGTGATAATGAAATAGTAAATTCATTTTCACATATCAAGATGTACCATCATTCTTCTGTCCTTGCCTGTACAGTGATCTGGTTTGCTCATTGGTATGAATACAGGAATGTTTCACTCACACTAATTGAAATGGAAGGTTAGTGTGAATGGCTACAATGTTTGATTTAAAGATTAAAAGAGAGGGGCGCCTGGGTGGCGCAGTCGGTTAAGCGTCCGACTTCAGCCAGGTCACGATCTCGCGGTCCGGGAGTTCGAGCCCCGCGTCAGGCTCTGGGCTGATGGCTCGGAGCCTGGAGCCTGTTTCCAACTCTGTGTCTCCCTCTCTCTCTGCCCCTCCCCCGTTCATGCTCTGTCTCTCTCTGTCCCAAAAATAAATAAATAAACGTTGAAAAAAAAAATTAAAAAAAAAAAAAAGATTAAAAGAGAGACTGCTTCCTTTAAAGTCCTTAACTAAAGGAAATAACAAGAGCCGCTTACAAGGATTTACTCGAAGGGAAATACTGGGTTCAATGGAATAAATCAGTAATACAGTATTTGTATTTATTTCCATGTGCCTAAAAAGAAGGTTTAACACTTGAAATATTCTTAATCCTATTAACTATACCTTGCATGCTCATTTCTTTATGATTCTTTTATTCTTAATATTGCAAAGCTACATTTTAACATAGGCTATAATGCGATTATACTGACTCGGATTTTCGTGTTGATCTCCTTTTCCATAAAACAGTAGACAATATTTGCAAATCATAAGACTTGGAGAAAACCATA